CAGTCAACGTACAGTGAGGTTTTTACTGAATCTTCTTATTCGGATTTTGTTCTTCAAACCCATGTTTTGAAATGTATTTTATCATTATGCGTTACTTCATACCTTATTATGAATTTATGTTTTTGATTCTGAATGAAGAGATTTAATTGTTTTAGAGAAATCCGCCCTGATTTATATCTTTTTTTTCTTCAAATCTATGTTTATTGGATTTGCTAAAAAGCCTTATATGGGTGAAAAAGCCTCCAAGAAGCTTTTGGTATGCTCAAATGTCTTGTCAAAGTATAGTACAATTATCTTTTTTGTTTTATCCAAAGCATACTTTCTTTTTTATCTTTGTGGGATGAAACATTAAATGTCGACATTCTTTGTATCTTAAGTGATATAGTAAAGGATGTGTTCTCCCGTTATTAATAATTGACACAGAATTCTACTTATTAGCGCGACATCTTTTCCAAACCTCTTATGCAAAGAAATATTTTGTCATATAAGAGGGTGAATTGCGGACATGCTTTATCACTTGAATCATGATTTGCTGATCATTTCTTTATACCTTTTCAAAACGATATTTCATGTTTATCTTATCCTCTGATTCATGTTTAGAGCTTGATCATTTATTTCTCTTCTACTATTGATGTCTTACAAATTTGGCATTCCATATCCTTTGCATTTTGTTGCGTTTAAAAATCTCTTATCTTAAATTAACTGTCTAATTTGACGATGACTCAAGTCGACCGACATGCAGATCAGCTCGACTGAAACATTGCACATTAGTCAACTTTATAATTTCATTTGATTGTTGACATTCATTGACTTTCATTTTGGCTTTCATGGATTCATAAAATTTTTAATGATTTTTCATTCATGGATTTTTTCATATACTTTCAAAAAATATTTTCAGTTTTTTTTCTTTCATAAATATTTCCGGATGACACTTTTGGGACCTTATTTTATTGGAGTTTATTTGTACTATTGTTTTTTCAAGTTTATTTTCAGACTGCTTTATATATATCTTAGCTATATGTCTTGAGATCTTTATAATACGTTCATGATGATTATCATGTGTTATCTTGGTCCACTTTAAGATGTGAGTGCAATATTAGTATTTTTTTTCCATATCTATGTGTTTTGCTCACATTGTTACGCGTATTGCCGTGATTATATATATATATTCATATAATATATATATATATTATTAATATATATTATATATATTATTATATATATATATATATTTGTGTATGATTGCCTCAATTCTTCGTTGAATATGCTTTGGAGGCTTGTTTGATAGGGGGAGTCTTCCTATTTTTAATATAATTCACCGTACCTTATGTATAGGGGGAGCTTTCGCCTCTTCTCCTTTATAGTTTCCGCCCATTCAGTTGGGACAACAGGAGGGACGGGCGCGGAACAAGGCTGTATTGTGAGTATCTCGGTTCTTGCTTTCATTACCTATTGGTAAAGTATGTGTATCCTATTTGCTATATTCCTTTGTCGAAGCATGTGTTTGTCATTATAAAAAGGGGGAGATTGTTAGAGTCTCTGTTTTGAGCCTATGTCTTAATCTTGTTTTGATGATTAACAAACATTCGAATCTTATTTTTAGGATTTGTGTTCGTCAATTATGGCATCCAGGTTAGATTTGCGCTACGATGATATCTTAGAGGAGTGGAAATAAAATGAAGGTCCGTAATTCAAGTTAAGGTACATTATCAGCTTCAATCCCGACTGCCAAGATTCGGGAGCTTCCGAAGATTTATATTGCTGTATAGTGTCACAGACTTTTAGGGTGCTTTACTTATGATGTTATACTTAAAAGCTCAAATCATACACACAAACACAACACACAACGACACAACATTGTTATTTCGTAAAACGGTCAAAAATACGTTAAGCCCTATTAAATATAAATTAGTTTTCAAATCTCATCTATTTGGAAGCTGTGACGGCCCAGGGTTCAAGACAAGTATAGTCCAAGGTGAAACCCGGATTATTAAACATGCTAAGCATCCTAACACCATGCTGACGACACTGTTTTTCACCATTATTAATTACTATCCTCTAGTAGAATAAGGCCAAATAGATAAAGATACAAACCAGGCAAATAATAAGAAATAGTACAAGGAACAGACTAGCACAGGAAGAAGGATATAAACAAATGTGCGCCCAACTGAATTAGATAAGAAATATCTCTAAACTGTAAAATGATCATGCTCTCAGAATAAGGAGTCAAATGAATCTCCTGAAGGTATTCAACCCTACAAATTAAAAATACACAGTTCGTAGAAGTTCTGAAAATATTCAACTACTAGTATCTCTGGAATTAACTACAAATATGAATAATTAAATAAAAATCTAAATGAAATACCATCAACTTACGAACTCTCCATGTGCTGACTACCTGCCTAAAAAATGGGGAAACAATGAGTGTTAAAGCGGCTAGCAAAGATCGATTTCACCACCGACCAGCGGGGGGAAGGGGTATCAGTATATAGCAAAAACTATTCAGTACAATATGAGATATAAAAAGCATGACGGTGTATAGATGTGATCTGTGGGTAGATTTGGTCATTTGGCCAATTTTTTTGATTTAAAGAGAGTTCTGTTTGCCAAATTTTTTAGAGAAAACCTTTTTTTGCAAATGTCCCGGGCCTTGTTATGGTCAACAAAATCATATGAGCCTTTTTCATGTGCACTTATTGTAATTCAAAAAGGTCATTTTGCACAATTTTTCTTTGACCGTGTTCGCCTGCACAAATGCGGTCAGGAGGGTTCATAACCTAGGGCTTTGAGCTTTTATGGGATAGGGGTCATGTCCCTTTAGTTTTTCCGGACCAGATAGTGTGGGGCGCTAAATCCTTTTGATTTGTAAACAAGATCTTTAAATGTCTTTTTTTGTATTCTTGGTTAATTAAAAATTTTAAGTCACTTTCATTTTTCATTTTATTGGTTATTGAATTTTTGATGAGAGGTTTGGTGTTTATAAACCCTCCTGGATTAGTAAGGTGCGTGTTTATTCCTAAATCTTATTTACGGGCGCATGCCCGCTAAAACTGTATTATTATAGGTTGGAAACAAGCTTAAGCTTGAGATATATTCGTTGCCTTTTCTTGATTTGGACGGGCCTGAGTGTCAAAAAATTTGTTGCATTCGTAGCCTGCTTGAATTCATTATATAGCGCAAATAGATGGATTTCAAATTTCAAATTTATGCTTATAAGTATTCTTTATGTGGCTTGATCAAATTTTATAAACGAAAATTCTTTATTGATCAACCATCCATTTTTGGTTTTCAATCTTATGATTATGATTTTATTGCGTTGGTTGTTTCATTTTGAAAACTTTTTCATATTCTCATGTGTCTTTTATTTCTGATTTCATAGATCTACGTTTTAACATGGTTTTTATTGTTTGTTTAATGAGACATATTTCTATAATGACATATCAATATGTGTTCTCATTGTCTTTTTATTATGTGAGTATTCTTGAGCATATTTTTTCGTACTATGCTTGCCTCACATATATTTGCCTTGGTCATCATTGCATATTATTCCATAAGACATTTTTGATGGGGACAGCTATCCTTTTTTTGTTTTATACTCACCTATGCTTATGCTAGGTACGGGGGAGCTTCGCTCTGCTTCTTCTTTCTATTTTCCCTTTCTTGATGTTGCAAAGGCGGGGAGAGAATATTGTGAGTATATTGTTGTTGTATTGCAGATCGATAATTCTAATTTACATATTGATTTCCTTTTCATGCATATATCTCTTTATAAATTTATTTGTCATCATTCAAAAAGGGAAATATGAGTCCTTTTGTTTTCGATGATGGATTAAACAAACAATTTACAACTGAATTGGTTGTTTCTCGTATGTTTGGTTGTGTTATTTATTCTAGACAAACAAGAAGTTCTGGAGGTGATGGATGGATTCGCAGCATTCACGATCATAGTCATGGGAGCGGTGGCGAATTGAGGACGGAAGCATGCAATCAAGTGAAGATCCCAAGTTCAACCTTCATTCGCAAAATTTCCAGAATAGAGCAGTTCGTGAGATTACAAGCCTGCATATATCTAGTTTTAGGTTCTCTATATTATGTGTGTTAGAATTTGAGGCTCATTACAAACGACACACTTTATGGTTATATATATTATATATTATATATAATATATATAATATTATATATAATATATATACATATATAATATTATATGTAATATATATAATGCTACAGTAATTTACTACAGATTTTACTACAGCATGAACAATGATAATTTACTGCAGCATTTACTAAAGCATGAACAGTGATTCTTGGGTCCTCCTATAATTATAGAGGTATAGATGTATTAATCTTATATTTTATATATATATATATATATATTATTTATTATATAATATAATATAGGATTTTACTACAGCATGAACAATGATAATTTACTGCAGCATTTACTAAAGCATGAACAGTGATTCTTGGGTCCTCCTATAATTATAGAGGTATAGATGTATTAATCTTATATTAATCTTATATTATAAGCATTAATACATCAATATCCAACCTACATCCTCTCTCAATTGTAGGATTTCACAAATTCTAAAATATAATAGTTTTTTATTATTTGGGGATTCAATATCCCAAATTTGGTTTTGAAACAAACATTGTTTATGGAATTCTGAAACCCAAAAAACTTGTCATCCACCTTATATCCCAAGAAAAGATTGAAACAAAAGAGAGGATTTCACAAATCCTAAAAAAATATTATTTGTTTATAATTTAGGGATTCAATATCCCAAAATTAATTTTGAAACAAACAAAGTTTATGTAATCTCAAAACTCAAAAAAAGCACTTTTTACATCCCAAAACTTAAAATCCACCTTATATCCAAAAAAAAAACAGAACAAACACCCCCTAAAAATAGCACGAAGCAGTGATGAAGATCTTTACGATGACAACAGGGCCTGACCATCTTGCAACGCGTCCAACTCGCTGCGCTCCCTCCCAAAAACCACGTCCCACGTGGCAGTCGAGCCCGAATAGCGTCCTACCCGCCAAAATTCCGAGCCTTGTCCCCTTCCCCCAAAACTCCTCTAAAACCCCCAATTTCGCTAAAACCCTAGCTCTTCGATCCGACGCCAATGTCGATCGATCGAATCTTCGAAGCGATGGCGAACGACACCGACCGCACAAGCGTCGTCCCGATCTCTCTGTTCGTGGCTGTGCTTTGTTTGTGCATCGTTGCGGCTCATCTGCTGAAAGAGAGCCGATGGGTTAATGAATCAATCACCGCTATCGTGATTGTAAAGATCTCTAATCCCATTTTTGTTCTTCTTTTCTACGTTTTTCTTTGATTGGGTGTTGTTTGGGAGTAAGAGAAATTGGCGAAATTTCCATTTTTTTTTTTGTTTCTTTCAGCTTTTGCGGAGTTAGGACAGTTTTAGTAGTATAACTAGCTGAACACATGATCATTGATTCTTTTGTTTGTTTCAGCGTTTGCAGAGTTAGGACAGTTCACTGTCTTGTAACGGGTCTTCCCACCTAAGAAAACCAAGAAAATCAAACTTACATTTATTTTTGTGTGATGTAGGGATGCATCACAGGAACTGTTATCCTATTATTAAGCAAAGGCAGCAGTTCTCATATTTTACAATTTGACGAGGAATTGTTCTTTATATATCTACTCCCACCCATAATCTTTAATGCCGGGTAATTGGAGCTTGATTTCTACTCTGTTGGCCATCTAGAAAGTAGGCTGAGTTGAGCTTTTATGTTAATATTACAGTCACTCTTTGCTGCAGATTTCAAGTGAAGAAGAAACAGTTTTTTCAGAACTTCCTTACCATAATGCTATTTGGAGCGGCTGGTGTTTTTATATCATCCATCATAATCTCGGTTGGTAAGTAATTTGTATGTAATGGAATATATGTCCTTAATTTGTTTTTCAAAGTTTACATGTGGATTAGTTCCACAGGTTAAAGAAGAGAGAAAGAATAACTGTCTCTAGTTTGAACTTAATCAGCAAAAGTATGTTCATGGTAGTACAAAGATTGTAGTACAAAGATGTGGTAACTCTGAATGCATTATGTTATTTCTGTCAGTGCATAATCCTTAATAACCTAACCAGATCCAGTTTTAAATACAGTGAGGCTAATTATGAACACTTTTGGACTCTTTTAACTTAGCGGTCAACACTAAAATTGTTCCTTCTAAATGAATATGTAGCAATATCAAGATATGTACATAATCTTGAAATAATCTCATAATCCTTTTGCTGTTCTACCAATGGTTTGAATCAACACTGGGCAGTGGCATCATCTTTCAGTTCCCAGCCTTTGATGCACAATTTTCTCTTCAATTCTTTTCTACTAATTCAATTATCTAAAAATTTTCTGATGCGGTTGAAGTATATGTTATATTATCCTTGATCTATAATATCTTTTCTCATTGATGTTTGTTGTTGAATTAGGCAGTTATTGGCTCTTCCCAAAGGTCGGTTTTAATGGGCTTGACTTACGAGATTATCTAGGTTTGTTTACCAACTCTTCTATTTTTTTTTCTGTTATTTCAGTTCTGTTCTACTCTTTACTTTTGAAATTCTTTTTGAGTCATGTTCATGATTTCGTTTTTATTGTGCTTCTGGGTGATTTTACTCCAAAGTATTGTTACTTTCCATTTTATGCAGCTCTTGGTGTGATATTTTCTTCAACAGATACAGTCTGCACCCTGCAGGTTGATCAGATTCTAACTCTAGTATTCATCTTTGCTTAAAGTTCACCAATTTCTGGGAAGTGTGCTTGTCTGATGACTGAGTTTTGCTATCAAGGTTCTTCATCAAGATGAAACCCCTAGACTGTATAGCTTGGTCTTTGGCGAAGGTGTAGTAAATGATGCTACAGCAGTAGTTATTTTTAATGCAATTCAGAAGCTTGATGTTTCTAAAATACACGGATGGACAGCTGTCTATTTTTTTGGAGATTTTCTATACTTGTTCTCGACAAGTACTGTCTTAGGCATTGCGGTAAGCATAATATTTCATGAAATGCTTACTCATCTTTTGTGATTGGATAAATTTTCTCTTTCCTTCAACTTTCAGACTGGGCTTTTGACTGCTTATGTCCTTAAAGCCTTATATTTTGGTAGGTATGTGCTCTGGTAAAGTAATATTATTTCTTTATCCTGTGTTTTACACTTTATATGGACCTTCAATTTTTTCAGGCATTCAACTGACCGTGAAATATCTTTAATGATTCTAATGGCATACTTGTCTTACATGATGGCAGAGGTGAGTATTATTAAAACAACTTTGTCGAGTTTTATATTTAGTCACTTAATTTAGCTACTGATTTGGCCAAAATAACGTGTTGTTTTCAACTACAAGTCAAATGGTAATAAGGCCTAATTTTTAGGTATGTTGATAATTTCTCTTCTATTCTTTCTAAATTTTACCGTTGTTTGTGTATGTAAAATATTTTTTTTAACATTTTTCTGTGATAGACCAGTTTTTGCCTTGATATATCCTTGTCATCTATAGTCACTAATTTTGGTCATGTCTCCCTAGATATTTTGGTTTCTCTTTCTGGGCATGGTTTGATCCAATACAACTTGTTGTTATCTGTATGGATATTATATCTCATATTCATGTCGAAATGCTATAATCTCGTAGAAATTACAATTATGTTATTCTCGTTTTCTTCTGAAATTCAGCTGTTCCCATTTTGTTGTACAGCTATTGCAGCTTAGTGGAATCCTTACAGTTTTCTTTTGCGGGATTGTGATGTCACATTATGCGTGGCACAATGTGACTGAGAACTCGAGAATCTCAACAAGGTATCTTATCTTACTGGTTATTAACTGGTTCTTATATGCCATCTATGTTACACATAAAATCCTCTATCAATTAGAAGTAAGTGACTTTGTAAGATGTTTATTCTGATATCTACATAGAGGATAAATTGTATTATTCAAGTCTTTAGGCAGATTTCCAAATCTAGGGAATATCCTTTTTAGTTTTGAGTACAAATAAAAAGAATATCCTAACAACTAAACAGAAATGTTCACCAGAGGTAATATATATATTTCTTTGTTGAGGGAAGCATTAGTTAATGAAACAAGCTAAGAATAGCTGAAAATAAAGTAGAAAACAGATCAAATGGGTCATCATGATTCAGCTCAGTGTCTACAACTGCAAGGAAAATCCAAGATAGTAGATCTCCAAGGACTGATGAATATCAAATTGGATAAAATACCAAATTGGCATATAAAGTGACACCACTTTATCACTTTGGTGAATAAAGTGACACTGGCGACATATTGACGTAAAAGTCTATAGGTTGTGACAATATGGGTACTCTGGTCGCCGGTGGCAAGTTTTGAGTGCGTAAATTAAGGATTTTTTGTAGATATGCACTTCAAATCTCGCATATTTTCAGATTTACCTCCCAAGTTTTGAAATTTGTAAAAACAACCCATCCCTCCCTCCCTCCATGACCACCATCTCCTTCATCTTGCTCCCTACCCCCACCCCGCCACCACTATCTCCTCCATCCTCCTCTCCTCCCAATTCCCAACCTCCCCTCCTCTCTCACTTCCTCTCTCTCCTCTCCCATATCCTCACTCTCACCCCTTACTCTTCATTTTTCTCCAAACTCATCCGTTTCCTCATATTCTTTAACTTTCTTCTCTCTCCCCTCCCTCTCCTCCTCTCTCTTTCCTCTCATCCGCACCTGTGACGTCCCTGGTTTCACACAAGGCTACAGTCCAATGTGAACCCAAAGATGTCAAACATGTCATGCATCCAATACTGTGCAACAACATATTTCATCATCACAGTAATATCTCTCTAGTAGAATCAAATACAAGAAGTGAGGGCATAAGCAGATATAGTAAAGATGACAATACAAGGACCACAATATAGAGAATAGATCCAATGACATTTATAATTAAGTTTCAATAAAAGAAAAGAAAATACACCTGGTAAACTGGAATAAAACAATGAGTCTCTAGCATGTAGGAATCAATTGAAAAGTATATAGGCACTCAGCCTCCAAAATGAAATACATCTCTATAAGGAAAATAAAATCATAAATATCTAATGTGGAGCACAAACTAGCTACTAATAAATAACGGCGAACTATACAGAGTCTCCGTCAACCTGCGACTCTCCGAGCCCCTAACTCGCTACCTGAAAAAGATGAAAACAACGAGCATTAGAATGTTAGCGAGAACATCTTCACCGCCCCCAGGGGAAAAGAGGTTAGATGTATAAAAATACAAGTTATAGCATATATAGATATATAAATTCTACATTCTGAACTAAGGGGCTGTTTGGTTGGTTTACTAAAAATCAAGAAAAGGAAAAGGGTACATGAAAATTAATAAAATATTAATTTCATCCATTTCCATCCCTAAAATTCACCACAACATCCAATAAAATATTATTTTCATACCACAACTCATCTCATATCATCTCCTAAAAATAAACCAAACACAAGAAATGAGTTACATCATCCAACTCATCTCATATCCATTCATCTCATCTTTAAAAATCACTCACATCATCCAATAATATGGTGACAACTCATTTCATCTTATTAACATTTCATTTTCACTCATTTCCTCCAAAAAGCTAGGAAATCGATTTCTTAAGTGTGGAATACATCATCCAATAATACAATGACAACTCATCTCATCTCGTCTATTTTCTTATTTTTATGAACGAACCAAACATAAGAAAAGAACCTATTACAGGAAATAGGTTTCTTATAATTTATTTTCTTATTTTTTAGCCAACCAAACAACCTCAAAACAAATTTTCTTAAAAAATCGCCCACATCATCCAATAATAATATGATAACTCATCTCTCATTCTTTGATTTCCTTCTTTTTTTTAGCCAACCAAACAATCTCAAAATAAATTTTCTTAGAAAGAGATTTCCTATTCTTTGATTTCCCTCTTTTTTTAGGCAAACAAACAGCCCCTAAGAAGAATTAATATTTAGAAACCCACAACACGAGAATGAGTACGTCAAGCAAAATAATCCAGACAAGAAAACCCTCATATATATACCGTGTATCTTAATTGTGGATCGATAAATATCAACTTTAAAATCCTATGAATACAATAATTAACAAAGAACAATACATTACCAAGCCTCATCCATACAAAACGTATCATAGCAACTCACATTTCCCTCGGGTAGTTGGCACGGGAACAAAAATAAATATTTGGTAAAAGATCTCATCTAGGATATGTAGTAAATAACAAACCATAGCCTTATACTCTACCCTTGAGGTAGGTTACACAGGAGAAAATTTACAATCCTGTATGATCCTCTACAAAGAAAAAATGGTGTGGAGTATTGGGTGCTCACAATATCTTGTGGCTCATAGAAATATTTTGCTGCTCACTACCTTATTCGAACACCCTGCGGAGTATAGACATATCAGTCTAATTCGGAACACAATGATGCATAATAGAGTGTAGTCCACTGTGATCTCATTGCAGTACACCAACTAACACACTCTGTGTGTAGTCAACCACGGTCTCGTTGTGGTGCACTAACCCCACTCAAACATCCAAATTTACCGTAAAACGAAACATACGTCACTCTCTATCACGACTAACTCAAAATTTTAGACTACGCGTATTAATAGGCTCGTGTATGCTAAAATCCAGCACGTGTCCTCTCACGATCTTACACGTGTGTCGACGTGCGACTCGTACTTCGTGTTTGCGATCAAAAGCACATGGTAAATCAACTTATGCAAAACAACTCAAATCAGTCGACCGAAATACCCCATAGGTCGACCGACGGCAACGTGCACGAACATGCACACACAAACAAGCTCTAATCGGTCGATCGATGGCTATGTTCGGTCGACCGACCAGAGAAAAATTCAGTTTCCTGAGAGCAAATCGGTCAACTGATTACTTTGATCAGTCGACCTACCAGAGGGAATTTTTTCAGTTTCTTGAGAACGTTTGATTCTCTCAAAAATTCATTGAAATCGAAAATTTACCAAGACCTCATATAAAATCTCGATTTAGTGCAATTAGGGTTTACTCTAAAAGATGAAAAACACAAATATAAAGATTTGAGGGATTCTAATAACCCTAACATGTTTATGTTTGAAAATTCATCATGAAAGCAAATAGATTAACAAAATCTCATGTTAGATTTACTTCAAACCTTCAACCCAATTTAAAGAAATCCATTTCATAACTTTTTAAATCAAAAAGATTAAATCTTTACATCATACAGATTAAAGAGGTGATCTTTACTCATAAAATAGGTTTTAAAATCAAATAAAACCAAAAAACGGGGATGGGATTGGAGATGAAACTCGCCTCAAAAATTTCGTGTTGAGCTCCCACACGCGAAGAACTCGATCCTCCCTTACAGAAAATCGCTGATCTCGCCCTCTCTCGTCTTTTTTGCTTCTCAAAGCTCTCCAAAAACTCAAACTAATGAATTAAGGTTTTAAGAGGAGGTGGCTGCTATTCAGAACGTGAGAGATGAAAGAAAAGAGAAATTTTGATATAATATATATATATATATGTGTGTGTGTGATCAAATAGGCCCAAACCGATCCGACCCAAAATCCAAATCTGTGCACCCATCAGTCGGCCGATGCTAATAATCAGTCGACTGATCAGAGGTGATTTGCGCGCACGCGCGCGCACACACACACATATATATATGTATATATGAGAAATATAGGTATGCTTGGTACCAAGCACAAATTTTGTGCTTGGTAGTGAGATGACACAATCCCCTCCACTCATTCAAATGGGGGACCATATTCACATGGGTTGAGGGGTGCATGCGAATATACAATCATTTGAATGAGTGGAGGGGATTATGTCACCTCACTACCAGTATAACTTTTTTGTGTTTGCGTACCAAATATACCAATTTCTTATCTCTCTCTCTCTCTCTCTCTCTCTCTCTCTCTCTATATATATATATATATATATATATTATATATATATATAATATATAATATATATATATATATATATATATTATATATATATATATATATATATATATATATATATATATATATATATATATATATATAATGTACTTAATCGATCTCAAATCAATTACCAATCATGTTCATTTCGTCCCAGAACAATGTCAACCATAATAAAACTCATTTAGTATTATTTACCATAATATTTTTAAATTCACGGGATTTTACGACTCCCTTCTCAGCTTTAGGTATAACATTTGATGTTGGGTCTGAGAAAGGAAGAGGAGGTTGGGTTTTTGATGATTGGAGGGTGGCTAGAGAGCGGGTGACAGGAGGGAAGTTTGTTGGGCAAGTATTTGATTTTTTTGTGGGGTGGGGGGGTCTCTATAAATATGGGAGATTTGAAGGGCATATTGTTGGGGATGCACAATCCCCCTGATGCGATTTGGAAATAGAGATTTAGGAGAGAAGAGAGAAAATCAAACAATCTCAAACACACAAGATTTACGTGGTTCGCTTCTCAATGTGAGAAACTACGTCCACGGCCGCCGCAGGAGAAAAATTCACTATTTTTCGTCACTTTACATCATGCCCTAATCAACCCTTTTATAGACTTAAGGGTTTAACAAGTAAAAAAGGAAACAGATCAAAACAGGTCAAAATTCGAATCTGGGCCAAAACCCGACTCCGGTCGACCGCAGCACCACGTGCGGTCGACCGCGATGCGGTTCAAAATCTCTCTGGCTCTCTGGACTTTTGGCGGGCGACCGCAGCGCCATGCTCGGTCGACCGCGATGAAGCTAAAAGTCTGGGTTGCTCTCTGGACTTTGAGCGGTCGACCGCAGCGC